AATGTTTTCCATTTTAAGCCATGTAGAACAATTTTATTTTTAAAACTATGAACATGGATTACTTTAGTAAAAATGGAAATAAAATTTCCAAGAAAAAACTGAAAATATAAGTATGTCAAAATGTGAAGCAAACTAAAATGTGACATGGTTTTGAGCTACTAGGGTAGGGGGGATGGATAGAAAGACACAATGAGAGAGAGAGAGAATACAATTTACCTTGACACTTCTTTGAGTTGCAAGAATTCATGATTACAAGATTACATTTTTTGAGTTAGTCACACTCCTAGGATCTCATGTGAATAATACATGGTATAGTCATAATACAGGTTTATTGGTTTCTGATTTTTTAGAATTACTCCATATCGAAGGCACAAAATATTTCACTATAATTGTTAGACTGAATGCTAAAAACGAATCAAACCAATCCAAACAAACAGAACCCTTGGCAATGTAATAGGGACGGGCATGGGAAGCTGGGGAGAGCGGAAGTGCTGAGTTTAGGGGTCCTGATTTCCTCATCCTACATTGGAGTCAAGGAATCCTGTCTACAGCTGAGGGCATAAGAGAAGCTTTAGTAACTCAAAAAAGAAATACACTGGAGGAAGCTCAGGAGGAGCATGGGAGGGAAGGAAGGCAGAGGTGTGAGGCGAGTTAAATGTCTCCTGTGTCCTATCGGGGAGTTACGGTAATAGCAACAGCCAAGCCTAAGTTATCAAGATATGGAAGCATAAGCAAAAGGACTCATTATAGGATTCATTTGGATAACAACTCATCAAAGTCGTTACTGTTGTTTTTATCCACTTGGTAGTGGTAGAAAGCCTTAGAATTAGAGAAACTTAAAATAGCATCTCTGAAATAATGAAAAAATTCTTGACAGTGAAAAATACACTTCAATTACAGGCGTATTTGAGGAATTCTTGTCTATTTTACTTGCTGCTGCAGCTGCCAAGTTCCACTAGTATTGAGAACACTGAGCTAGGCTTTTTTATGAGGGACATCAACATTCCTGGACTAAAGAGGGAAGAGAATTCTGCCCCTTTTTTCTGATAAAGAAAACTTCTAATTGCGGGACATCAGCAGTACAATAAAAGTTCTGTCACCAATGCGATTCTGCCAATGCAAGTTAGAATAAATGAAGCTTGATTCCTCATCTGTGCCATGTAATTATTAATACTGTTCTGCCTCCTCATCAGGGTTTTGCAAGAGTTATAATCCATGCAAAGTAAAGCGCTCACAAATTTATAAAGACAAAGACAGATGTGAGCTCTTCATGGACTCAAGTGGAAGGGAAAACATTCTTTAAATAATTTTCTTGTAAAAAACAAAGACACTGAAAAAGTATTCTTTTCCTTTGAGAGGTGTAGATTATATAAACCATCACACTTCTTGTGTCAAATCGTCTTTTTATTCTTGCTCTCTCAACATAGGATAGGTTTAAGTGAAGGCTTGCTTTAAAGTATTTTGACATATGAAGGTGTTATGTTATGTTTTTTGGCTCTCAACTGCAAATCCCTTTCTCTGCCCTGCTTTGTGATCCTAGAGCTAGAACTCCTGCACACAACTCTTGACATAACGGTTAAGCTTTATCAACAGAGGGCGCTGGAGTGACGGTGACAGCAAGACCACTCCCTTCCAGTTCCGGCCCTGTTAAATATATTGGGAGCCACGTGGATGAGCTCCGTCATCCCCACACCGCCCAGTAATGGTGGGCTGCTTTTCCAGACCAGCACCACCTGTACCCTCTGCCAGTCTCTTCACCTGCAGCAGGCTGTGCTCCACCACTCGGCAGAGGGAGGGGGGCCCATATACAGCCAGTAGTTACCATCTTCTCTTGCTCCGAAATGGGGGCAGAAAGCAAAGCCCAAGGCCAGACCAAGGTGGGATATAATTAAACAAGGATGCCAAAAGACTGTATTCTTAGAGGAAGACTGAGCTGGAAGTAAATCCAAAACGGTCCCCTTCTCCCTAAGGAATTGTGGGAGTATTACCTCGGCCTAATGAAGGCTGTCACCACAGTCTGCTGTCTTGTGAATCTGCACCCCAGATTCTCATCACCAGGCTGGTCTTTAGAAACCCCACGCTGTTAATTTACTTTAAAAGTGGTTCCCAACTTGGAAATTTCCAAACCTGGAAGGAAAAAAATGAGAATTGAAAGACATTCCCAGTTTCAGAAGTAACTGCTTCCCAGAACAAAGTCCTACATATGTTAAAGAAAACAAAATCTAGAACTCAAAGGCCAGGGCCAGCAAACTACAGCCTGCAAGCTAAATCTTGCTGCGGGCTGTTTTTGTAAATATAGTTCTACTGGAACACAACCACACCCACTCATTTAGTATTTACGTGTATGGCTAATTCCAAGCAGACTCGACAGGCCGTTCTGCCCAAAAAGCCTAAAATATTTTATCTGGCCCTTTATAGAGAAATCTTGCCAACCCCTGGCTCAGACCACTGACATTTAATATAATTATTGACGTGTTTGGATTCCAGTGTGCCAATTCTTGTTTGTCGCTGTGGTTTCTTTTTGCTTCCTGTTTCCCCTACCTTTCACTTTCTTTTGAATTATTTGAATAGTTTTTAATATTCCATTTTTAATTTATCTGTTGGCTATATATGTGTTCTTTAAAATGGTTCCTCTAGGGATTACAGTATCATACCCAGCTTTTCCATTTATTTAGGAGTTAATATTATTCCTAATATTAGACTTCATGTAAATTGGAAAAGCCTTGCAGCAATAAACTGAAACAACTTTGAGCAGGAATATAAAAATGGACAATGGGTAGACCTTATATGACAACAAACTCTGACCCTATGACCTCTGCGGCAACCAATTTAGGGCACCGAATGAAACCCCTGCAGCCACCCACTCAGAATGGTCGAGACTCAGTTGATGACTGCCAACATCCTGATTTTTTGTCCAGACTCAGGACCGAGCAGAGAAAGGCAAATATGTTCCCCGAAACAATCATGTAAGATGCGTGCTGCTCCAGCTTCCTCATGCCAATGACCTCCAGTCAGAGCATGCCTGCAGCTTTGTTTCTCACTAGAAAGCTTTCCCATTACAAACTTCAGCCTGCGTCTCTGCAAAAGCCCAAGTAGTCGGTGGCTGCCTCCTTTGCTAGAGCAAGCTCTGAATAAACAGCCTGAATGGTTAAATTTCTGAGTGGTGTTTATTTCCATAACTCAAATGTTTAACAACATAAATGTGATACAATCATATATTACTGTATACATGAACAAACTACAGCTACATCCACGAATTGAAAGAAAAAAGGCCAAAAAATTAGAGTTATTTCATTTAATTTCCTTAGATGTCTCAAGTCAAAAAGAAAAGATTATTTTCCTGGCCTTAACAGATTGGCTTAGTTGGGGCTCATTCAACGGGTAGCTGGATCACTTACAACTCTGCTTTATCCTTCACCTCCTGTACTTGTGAAGCTCAAAGATCAGAGGTGGAGGCCTAGGGTCCTCCCAAGTCTTTTCTGAGACTGTGCAGTCCTGGACATGCGGGCGGCCTTCCGGATTCCTACTCGAGTCCTTCAAAGCCTTTCTTAACCCCACACCACCGCCCCCTACCCCCTTGTATCTTCCTCCCCAGACTTCTGGTTTGTGTGGCATATGACACTAGACAGCTGTAGGTAATAGGTTTTTAAAGCCTGGAGACCTCAGAGGGGGACAAACAAAGGCAAATTTCTGAATTAAACCCTCAGGGAAATGCCAGACAGGTCAAGACACAACAATGTGAGAACAAAGTGTCCCCTTTGGCACCATCAAGCCACACCAAGAATTTCTCACAAAACTTAGTGCCTCTTTATTAAGCACTGTTCCAGTTGTTTTGATTATATCCCAGAGTTTCAAAAATTAGATTTTAACAGTTTCGGTCAGCTTAATAGCTGTCTCAGTAAAGGGAAAAGTCTTTGGAGCTCCCTACTCCACCATTTTTGGTGATGTCACTATGTCACATTTTAGAAAGATGACCTTTTAGGGCGCCTGGGTGGCTCAGTTGGTTAAGCGACTGCCTTCGGCTCAGGTCATGATCCCAGGGTCCTGGGATCAAGTCCCCCATCGGGCTCCCTGCTCAGAGGGGAGCCTGTTTCTCTCTCTCCCTCTGCCTGCCACTCCCCCTGCTTGTGCTCGCTCTCCCTCTCAAAGAAATAAAATCTTTTAAAAAATAAATAAAAATAAAAAGATGACATTTTAGAAACGGAGGACAGATGAGTGGCTGCCAGGGGTTGAGGAATGATGCAGGTGGGAGAGGAGCAGCAACAGGAGGGATCCTTATGTGTTGGAGTTGTTCAGGATCTTGCCTATGGTGGTGAATACATGAACCTACTCAAGTGATAAATTATTTAGAACTAAATACACACATACCATACAAGTAAAACTGGGGAAATGTGCATAACGTTGGTGAATTTTATCAATATCCTGATGGCGATATGCTGTAGTTTTATGAATATTCAGGGGAAGAAAAATCGGAGGAACAAAAGTACAAGGAATCTCTCTGTATCATTTCTTAGCAACTGCATATGAATCTACAATTATCTCAAAAATTTTAATTAAAAAAATTCAGATTTCAGATGAGGAAGTTTTAGAAACACATTATCCAACTTATTTTGCTTCCCTTTTTATATGCATCCAGAAGTTATATGATAGAAATTTATCTTTAAATAAATCTAAAATAGCTCTTTTAAGAAGTAAAATACAATTCTCAAGAAAGCACCATACTATAGTATAATTACACTGATCTTTTTTAGTGGCACATAAAATAATTGAGCATCTCCCAGTTAGTGGAAACAGGATTTGATGATTTATGGTATGTTTGGAATGAGGTTTACTTACAGGTCCATTTTGGTTCATGTCGCTAGCTTTGGCACTAACCATCAACATGTCTGTAATAAACAGTGACAGTGACTAGTGGTGTAATAGGATAGATGGAGTCAGGAAGCATACAGTAATTATCCACATTTCTGTTTACTATATGTATAAAGACATAACTTCAGGAATAATGGGAAAGTAATGTATGTGACTTTAATACAAAATGAAATATAAATTATTAAATACTACCATTTAACTCTGTACACCAATACTTCAGTATTTCCACTCCTTGAATAAAGCACATATAACTCGAAAGGCTAAGTAATTCTTAGTTTATGACTAAATTCTCTAAAGAATAAAATGCTGGTGAAAAGTCAAAATTGTTCAGTAAGATATGGATGACCTTATTTATTTAGCAATTATCACAGACATCAAAATGATCATGGGTAACACTAATTTAAGCACTTACAGAATACCACTTAGGCCCAATATTGATTTATTAAATGAAAATATAGAGGGAAAAAAAATCAAAGAAACTGGTATTTATGGCACCAGGTTAAAGGCAGATTTAAAACCACCTTTGTCAAGGTTTTAACACTGGAACAAAGTTAAATGTACCTAAATGGGACATGAAGCTGTTCTTGGTAATAGTACAAACTTTGTCCTCCTATGGGTATTACTATTTTTAAGTTTTCTCCTCTATATGAAACAACTGAAAAGAAAATTTAAGAATGTTACAACTCATGGATTACTTTGTACATGCATCATTCTATATACAAATGTATTAGTAACTAATATATTAAGGCCATAAATCAAGTCTTAAAAAAACTTCACTTTTATGTGTGTTACAAAGGTCAAGTCAGCTTACAGACACAGAATAGGTTAATAGGAATAAATATTTTTTCTCTTACCAGATTTCCAATTTTTTTTTTTTAATTGGAATAGGATTTGGGGATAGGGTTATTGAAAGCACCAGGGTTCAACAAATTTACATTTTATCAGAGGAAAAAGATTCTTAAAGAATGCAATGATGGCATATAATCTTACTCTTATAGCATAAATCTTCATATTAGTTGAAGTGATACTATAGATACTGTAATGCTTTAGACAAAAATTTTAAGATACATCAATGACCACCAAGTTTCAAACAAAATGCAGTGATCAAAATATTTAACTGTCCTTCTATCAAGCTTTTACAAACACATTCAGTCTTCACTGTCTGAGCAAATCAGTTTTAGCTTCTTCATAGTCCTCCATCTGTCTTTCAACATGACGCCTGTTCGGTTGTTGAATTTATAATTTAACAGTATTTTAGACCAGTTTCCCTCTCCGTATTTCCTCACACCGGATCTCAGATTCTTGTCTTCTTCCCAAAGCCATGCCTTTTGATAAAACGCGAACAGTTATTCACAGAAACAATTCTTTAAAGAACATACTATAAATCCAACTGTTTTTAATCAAAATAGTATTAGTTTCTTAAGGATGGAAGAATTTGCATATACATTTCTTAGATTTCTGTAAGAGCTTATGTTTATAAGATTTCTCAGGGTCCCTACTATTATTGTTCATTTTACATAAGCACAGTATGGCTCAGCTGCCCAAGATCAGATGGCTACAAAGTGACAGAGCTAACCCAATCCAATTTATCAGACTTTAAGCCTACATTGTCTCTTACAATGCTTTTCTACAATTGTTATCAAATTGGTACTCCCCCCCACCTTTAAAAAAAGATTTATTTATTTTGAAGAGAGAGAGAGCAAGTGCATCATTCGGAGGAGGGGGCAGAGGGACAGAAGCAGACTCCCTGCTGAGCAGGGAGCCCAACCCGGGGCTCAATCCCACAACTCTGAGGTCGTGATCTGAGCCCAAACCAAGAGTCAGACACTCAACCAACTGAGCCACCCCGGCACCCCCAGATTGGTACTTCTTAATCCCACTAAATAGAACTTATGAATATTTAATACTTCAATAATGAACTCAGTGAAAACCCAGTTCTGTGTTAGGCAAAGTATACACAGCCATAAACCTCAAATCTTCCCTAAAAACAAATTCTTAAAAACACAACTAAAAAAGACTTATTCAAAACATATTATTTTATTTTGGAGAAAATGGCCGAAAATTTTTAAAAATCAAGTTAGCACCATACACAGAAAAAAACTGATAGTTGGCATTTGCTACAGGTGACCAACTAACCTATCCCTTTTGCTGACATGCTGAAGGAGCAAATGACTGAGTGATTATTTACTGTGTCTAGACTATGATTACTTTCCCCAGCTGAATTTCCTATTTTCTTTAAAAATCCATTCATCATCAAGTCATGAAAAGATAAATAGTGTATGATTTCGCTTACATGAGGTATCTAGAATAGTCAAACTCACAGAAACAAAGTAAAATAGTGGCTGCCAGGGGATGGGAAGAAGGGAGAATGGGAAATTGTTTAATGGGTACAGAGTTTTAGTTTTGCAATATGAAAAAGTTGTAGAGATTGGTTGCCTAAACAATGCGAATGCACTTAATGCCACTAAACCATACACTTAAAAATGATTAAGATGATAAATTTTGTTATGTATGTTTTACTACAAAGATATAAAAAAGTTAAAAAATGAGCAAGGACTTGATAGACATTTGTTCAAAGATACACAAATGGCCAATAAGTACATGAAAAGATGCTCAACATCACTAATCATTAGGGAAATGCAAATCAAAACCACAAAATATCACCTCACACCCATTAGCACATCTATCATCAAACAAAACAAAACAAAACAAAAAACAAAAACAAAATACCACAGAAAATACTAAGTGTGGGTGAGGATGTGGGGAAATTGGAATTCTTATGCACTGTGGGAAGGAATGAAAAACTGACCGCTGTGGAAAACAGAATGGTGGTTCCTCAAAAAAATTAAAATTACCATGTGATCCGGTAATTCTACTTGTGGTATATATCCAAAAGAACTGAAAGCGGGGACTTGAAGAGAAATCTGTACACCCATGTTGGTAACAGTGTTAGTAGGCAAAAACTGGAAGCAACCCAAGATATCCACTGATGGATGGATGAACAAAATGTGGTATATAAATACAGTGAGATTTTATTTAGCCTTAAAAAGTAAGGAAATTCTGACACATACTATAACATGGATGAAACTTGAGGACATTATGCTAAGTGAAGTAAGTCAAACACAAAAGGACATATACTGTAGGATTCCACTTGTATGAGAGGTACCTAAAACAGTCAAACTCGGAGATAGAAAGTAGAATGGTGGTTCTACTTTCCACTTTACAGAGGCATGGGAGAGGGGCAAATGGGGAGTCCGTGTTTAACGGATAAATAGTTCTTGTTTTGCAAGCTGAAAAGAGTTCTGTGGATGGACAGAATGGCAGCACAACAATATGAATGTGTTTAATGCCACTGAACTATATACACTTTAATACAGTTAAGATGGTAAATTTAATTATGTGTATTTCACTACAATTCAAAAATTCCAACTCAGCTGTCTGATGCACTATTAAAAAGAACTCAAGGTGGCTTCAAGAAGACAAACCTGAGATGAAAACTCCTGTGTATGGCTCAATGCCATAAAACTGGCAGTGACCATAATTAAACCCTTGTAGAAGTTTGTCTGAGGTGCCTCGTCTTGGCAACCGTGCTGTCTTCGAGTGCGTGGTATGCATGGCTAATTGATCTCTAGACAAAGACAAAGAGGACATCCTCCTGTGGCGGTCTACCATGACCAACCCAGCCCACTTCTCTTATCAGTCATCACTCCTACAAGCTTCAAGTCACTGCTTGTCACTGATGCAAAACCAAAAGAGATGTAAATTTTCCGTGTGCGGGTGAGGAGTTTAAAAAAGAGAGAGATGGACTTACCAATTAAAAGTACTTCAGCAGTGGGTTATTAATCTTTGGGGTCATATAGATCTTTGAGAATGTGATAAAAGCTATGGATCCATCTCACAGACAAGTGAAGATGTACAAAATTTTACATAATATTTCAGGGGCCACTTAGACTAAACCTAAAATATCGTTTTTACAGTTCCCAAGTTAAGAATTTCTGTTGTGTAAGAAGTTGCTATAGTTTTGTTCAATTTTAAAAAGTAGTCCTTGGTTTATGTAAATTTCATATACACAACACAGTTTTCTTGTTCAAATATGAACTAATTACTTTTAATAGAGTGCACAGATGATATCTGATACAATACAAAAGCTCATTTATCTCAAGAAATAAGTAATATTCTCTGCCTGAATCCTATTTAGGTTCCTGGGTACAAGTTTAAGCAGTGTCTTCCAGTGGATCCCATACAGCAGAGGTAGCAAGCTACTGCCAAAATCCACCCTCAGCCTGTTTGCACTGCCCAGAAGCTAACAACAACAAGCTAACAATATTCAGTGTTAGAACAGAAAGAAAATATAAGGGTAGTACAATTTCATGAGTGTACTCTTTTGCTTACTCTTTTTCATTTCTTCATTTTATATCCTTGACTTATTGTTCTAGATACCATTCATAATGTCACAGAGTTAACAAAGAGTTTAAGATGATCTATTTTAGGACATAAAAAAAAAAAATCTGTGTTCTTTGTGCTATTCTGTCTTTTCCTTTCCATGAAAAATTAAAAATAGAATCAATAAAAAAATCATAACAATCCTGGTCAAACCCAAAACCCAAAAAGATACAAAGAGCACATAAATTCAAACACACCAATCCTTTTCTTTCCTAAGGCTAAAAAGTTTTTATATAACTTATATTTGAAAATTGTCTATCATTTTTAATGCCTTTCAGAGGAAAAAACAATGGTCTATAATGTCTTAAAATGATACTATTTATAGTAAAAAAAAGTTATAGTAATTCCATTATATACCATCTCTGGGGAAAAAAGTCTTCGTTGTTGAAAGACATTTACTTTCCTTGTTTAATAGAATAAATTTACAAAAGGAAGTCTCTTTGTAAACTGGGATGAGGCTGGCAGAAATACCTTTGTCTGTTTAACAGACAAATACAACAAGGAGAAATTGTCCAATCTGGTACAGACTACTGCAATAAAAATTTTTTAAGAACCAAAATGTTAACACAAAATAAGATAAGATCTGTCACTCATCTGAAAAAAGTCCCACTCAAAAAGCCAACAGGGGAAAGTGAAAATTAAAATGAGACACTTGTGATAGCCACAGAATTCTTTTTTGGCATAGTAAACAGTGATAGACAATATCATCTATATTCTGTTCTTTAAATTACATAGTTGATTACCCACATTTTGTTTTGAATACAAAAAAACAAAAAACCAAAAACCAGAGTAATTTTTTTTTTTGATATACGTCTATAAATAACACCTACAATCCCATTCAGAATTGTTGCCAGAAGAACTACAGGGAAAGATCACTTAAAATATGAGGCAGAGACTTCTAGTTTTGGGACCGACATATAAAAACCTTGGAAATATCACTCCAGTCCTCACAACAAGAAAAAAACTAAACCAACTGAAAGTCAACAACTCTTTGTAGATCCATCAGAGAACTAACGTCAACAGGCAAACTGTTGCCATAAAAACTAGAAAAACAGAAAGGTAGATACAGAGAATCGCAGCTTACCAGGAACAGAAGCTCATACCTGGAGCCAGTACTGATAGAAACACTTAACTATCTTGGATGAACTGATGGAGGCTTACTATGGGCAAGCCTGAGTTAAGAAACTCCAGGTGCCCAATCTTAGTGGGGCCCACAACTCCAACTCATTTCCACCTAACTCCGGCCCCCTCTAGCCTTCCATGTCAGGGAGGCTAGAGTATTTCCGGAGGGTATTTCCGGAGGGAAATACCCAGCTTCAGCCCCTTCTAGGCTTCCTTTCTCACTGAAGAGGGGGAAATAAAAGCTGAGAAGCACATATGAAGGTCTTAGTCCAGGACACAAACTCACTGAAAATCACACAAAACTAGAGAATACTTCTCTCCTTCATCTTACCATATTATTTGGGCTCCTGTAAATCAATTGCCTTAGCTGAGAGAGCTGCCTCAGACCCTTACTAAGGAGTCTAGGGAAAACCAAAGACAGCAAGAGAGACAAAAATAAGGAAATTTTAGCCTCTGACATCTATGGCTACAGCGAATAGGAAATAAAGCCTAACTCCTGGCTAGACAAACATAAAATCTCACACCAAAGGTCAGTTTACCTCTGCTCTTTTACCTGATACCTCATGTTCAGCTACCAGCAAAAAATGGGTAAGGTACACTAAAAGGCAAAAAACCACAATCTGAAGGGACAAAGCAGCATCAGCCTTGGCTATGACAGAGATTTTGGAATTATCAAAGTGGTAATTTAAATAACTATGATTAATGTCAAGCGCTCTAATGGAAGAAGTGGACAACATGTAAAAACAGATAGGTAAATGTAAGCAGAGAAATGTAAACCTTAAGAATCAAAAGGAAATGCTAGAAATCAACACATAGTAATAGAAATGTAGAATACCTTTGATGGGCACATTAGCAGACTAAACATGGATGAAGAATCAGTGAGCTTGAAACTAAAAAGAGAAACTTCCCAAACTGAAAAGCAATGAGATAAAAAGAATGAAAAAAAAAAGAGAGAGAGAGAGAGAAACAGCTAAGTACTGTGGGAAAATTACGAAAGAGGTGACCTATAGATAATGGGACATCAGAAGGAGAAGGAATAGAAGAAAGAATTGAAGTAATAATGGCTGAGAATTTTCCAAAATTAATGACAGACACCAAAACAGATGCAAGAGACTTCAGGAACACAAAGTAGGACAAATTCCAAAATATCTACACCTTCGTACATCATACTCAAAGTGCAAAAATTCAAAGACAAAAAGTATGTATGACTTTTGGCTGCATATAGTGTCATATGGTTGGCATTTCCCCATTCTCCTTTGGGAATTCACCCAACAGCATCAAGGAAAGAAATAAAATCTTAAACTCTTAAAAAAATTCAAAGAACCCTATGACCTGAATCATAATATAGGTGGAAGGGGTACACTATTGGTGGAAATTGACAAAAGATATGCAAAGAAGCAGGGCAGAGCCACTCTGACTATAGATCTCAGAAAGCCTGTGATGTGCAATTTTCCAGAGTAAAGAAAACATAGCCTGAGGTGCACACCTTGAATCCCCGGTCTGCCAACAGCAGGAGCCTCCCTCAACCTGCAGTTGCTCTAAATAATAAAGGTGGTGGTACTAAATAAGGAATCACATGGATAAGCAATATTTACAGGAAGCAAATCAGAAGTAGGAATTGCTTGCTATGTTCACTTGAGATACAAGAGATATTCCTAGTAGCCTGGAATTTGACCCTAGCCCCAGTGTCTCAACATGGACCATTTACAAGTAGCTTTTTGAGAAAACAAAACAAAACAAACCACATCTTAAATAAAGGAGAATAAGAAAAGAGCACACGGCCACCTTCAACTTCTAGCTAGACTTATTTACTTGCTGTAAACAACTAGAAAACCAGATAAAATACAGGAAACAATGGTTTGAGACACTGGACAGATGCCACAAGACTATAATCACTGAGTGCAGAAATGAAGTGAGTCGTAAAACTGACCCATCTTAACTTTCTGTATAGAAAAATTCCCTATCAAATGGTTTCTTCTTTTTTTAAGGCACAGAAGGACCTTATTTAAATTGGATCCCTATTAGGAAAAAATGAATATAAAAGCTTATAATGTCGATTTAAGTCCCACTTTACATTGATATATAGACCTTATGATAGTATCACAATAATTCTAAATAAATATCATTATCAGTACCCAACTTAAGGCTATTTTAAAAATACAGGTGAAATATTTTTTTTGGAACTTAGAACAGGTGGATTGGCCTATTGGCAAAATCAAAGATAGTTAAGTGGAAACATTTTACATTCAAGATCTTTTAGGTTTGAGCAGAAATAATGTGAAATAATCACAATTAATGTCCATTAAGTCTTATTTAAATATAATAAATACCTGTTTTTTCCTAGATCGATGTTTTTTAGAAGTTACTGGCTGACTGTTCAAAACATGTCTTCTGTCTTTTTCAGCAGCTTGTCTCCTGAGTCTTTTCATTCTTTCACCTAAAAGTAGAAATAATCATCAAAAATTGCTTCACATTAAAATAAAAAGGGGGCTATTTTTAAAGGTTACCATTAAATTCCTATCTATTATTTAGCTATTTTAAATAAAAAGAACTAATTTTTTCCCCTTTGAATCTGGAAGCAGCACAGTACAATGCAAAGATCAGTTTCTGAAAATCATAGGGGGTTACTGAATGCTGATTCTTTTACGTCTTTAAATAAGTTATCTCACCTCCCAGAACGTGTCCTTTTTCATTACCTGTTAAAAAAAGGAAAAACATTTATCTTACAGGATTGCTAAAATTTTCTTAAGATAATGTTTAAGGAATATTTTACCTAGTGTAAGAACTATAGCCCTTCCCTCATTCCTTCTTTCTTATTCATAGTCAATTTAGTAAGATAAGAATGTATATGTAACTGAAAAGAGAACTGTTAACTACTGAAAAAAAATTGTTTATATAAAAAACCTTAAAGAATCTACAAATAGAATTAAAAAGAGTTTAGATGGTTGGATAGAAGATCAATAAACAAAGCTCAATAGAATTTGTTCATTAGCAATAGTTAAAATATTTAAAACAATCAAAAGATAATGTTTACAATACTAACAAAAAATAGAATATTCTTAGGAATAAATCTAGCAGTGGTCGGGCGCCTGGGTGGCTCAGTCGGTTGGGCATCTGCCTTCGGCTCAGGTCATGGTCCCGGGGTCCTGGGATCGAGTCCCGCATCGGGCTCCCTGCTCTGTGGGGAGCCTGCTTCTCCCTCTCCTCCCCACTTGTGCTGCCTCTCTCACTATCTCTGTCTCTCTCTCTCAAATAAATAAAATCTAAAAAAAAAAAAAAATTAAATCTAGCAGTGGTCAAGATCTATATGTAGTAAATTATAAAGTTTTACTATATATGTGTATATATACACTATACATTATAAGAAAATATATATGACAATCTAAATAGAGTAATATAGGGGCACCTGGGTGGCTGAGTCGTTAAGCGTCTGCCTTCGGCTCAGGTCATGATCCCGGGGTCCTGGGATCGAGTCCCGCATCGGACTCCCTGCTCAGTGGGAAGCCTGCTTCTCCCTCTCCCACTCCCCCTGCTTGTGTTCCCTCTCTCACTGTGTCTCTCTCTGTCAAATAAATAAATAA